GTAACGTAACGTAACGTAACGTAACGTAACGTAACGTAACGTAACGTAACGTAACGTAACGTAACGTACGTAACGTAACGTACGTACGTACGACGTACGACGAGAGAGAGAGAGAGAGAGAGAGAGAGAGAGAGAGAGAACCCCAAAGTGTACTTATACAATTAGCTAAAACATATCATAGTTAAAGTACTTTTTCTTTTTAAGATTACAAAAATAACTATTATTAGTTGAAAATATTTATTTTCTGCACCCATTCTGTTTCAAACGAGCAACATTAATCACAAAATGATGAATAATAGTAGAATATATGGCCTCTAGTCGTGTGGCCTTCTCATCAGTTAAACTGTAACATTTTAAAGTCGTGGGTCCTTCAAAGCTAAGAGTGACTCTAATCCTTTATCATTCATAATTGATATGTAGTGCTTGGCCAATAACTGGCACTTCATAGATTTCTACTTTGATGCAGCTCAATTGGCACCAAGGAAATACTTCTTAGACATTCCAGAAATACTTTTTAGACAGACACATTCCAGAATACACATTCCTTATTACAATTAATTATAGCTTTCAAAAAAAAGAAACATTAGAGATGAATAAGCTAATACCTGATCACAATGGCATCAGTAGAACCAGAAGGAATAATTCCGAATCTAAACCATGGGTTCGGGAAAGAAAACATATTATCCCGATCTGCAAATGAGATGCATATAAGAATAGAAAACAGGTCCAACTCTTTTGCATGAGTTTGGATTCGTAATATAAAAAGTTAGAAAAGAATAAAAGAATTTGCATGGATTTTCTGGAAATGAGAAATATTCCATGCTTTCTACGAAGATATCATCAAGAGAGCAAAACTAACCTCTGTTGCATGGTTCAGACTCAGTCCCTACTATTTCAAATATCAATATGTGAAATATAAATTCCGCACCGATTAATTTCAGGGATCTAACAACCAAAAGGACAGTATTACACATTCCAATGGACTACAATATTACGGAACTCCAAGGCTACACCCACAGTCTGTTCCTGTGGGAATAATCTTAGATAATATCCAACTATTGATATGCAATGGACAGTAGATGTAGCATTCAAGTACTCTGTACCATGTGCCATTGGATTATAGCTTCCCTTCAAGAAAAGGACCGTGGTCAATTAACTTTTAGTCACATACCAAAATCTACCGAGTTTGGTCTAATGGCATCTGAGGAATGAAGAAGAGGATCAGAGTCCTCATTGTGATGAAGTAGAGCATGGTCAGGTGTATGGTCCTCGGATACATAGGCATAGTCACCAGTATGCCCATTGATGAAAAATTCCCTCTTTACAGGACATCGGTTGCTACCATTGTCGAGAGAATGAAGAACTTCTGCAGGTGAAGGTGGGTAAGGAGCCTTGTGCCTTGAAGAGAGAAGCCCATTCAAAATTTCATTGAAGAAGCCATCCCCTCCCTGAAAGAGTGCATTTATATTGCAGGAAGGAAATTAAGAACCCAATATCTAGCATATTGTGTTTTGTGCTCAAAAGCAAACAAGAGAACAGTTTTCTTTTGCCACGCCTTTAGAAGAGTTTAAAAGGTGAACTGCAGATCTAAGTTAAGTGCTCATTCTGATGCTAATGGAGACCATTTTTGTGTTACACATAATGATTGTGAATAAAAGCTGGATGAAAATAAGATTTGAGAACAACGTTATCAAGCAAACAAATCTTCATAAGAAATACACTTATGGAGGAAGAATATTCAAATGACTTACTACAGCAACAACACCATCATAGGAAATAAGCTCCCTATCTGAGATGGACTTCATCACATCAAAAGCATGTCCTGCCCTTTGTGTCACTATCAGCTGCAATAAGTATATGGTAAGTTCACAATATATGTCAAGCAAACCTCTCTCTCTCTCTCTCATACACACACACCCAAGCACGTGCATGTGCACACACACAAAAAAGAACACAAATTAAAACGTATATAAACTCACCCTAGTTCTCACTCTAGCACGGCCAAAAATAGAAGCAACAGATTCCCAAGTCCTGCAACCATTACGTTTTCCACTTGTTGGATGGACAAAAACCTGACCAAATAACGACGACTTCAAGAAAGAAAAAAAGAATTGCAGGGACAAAATTTTAAATCTAAATGGTGGTTTTAATAAAGAATTCAGATCTTAGCCTACATAGATTAGAACAAATGTACAGGGTGCATACCAGAAGGCCTTTAGGCCTCTGAATATCTGAGTTTAGATAACAATGAATTCGGTTTACCCAAGTCTCACAAGTCCCTAAATCCTTGTGACCAAAAGTATAGGCCATTTGAACCCAAAGAGAAGGCTTTGTCTTGGATTTTTTATACCAATGCACCACAAAACGAAACATCTGGAAGGGAAAGGCAAATGACATAGTAAGAAAGACTACCAAATACAAAGAGTTTCTAATGAAGTAAAAATAATAATAATAACGAAAATAATTTCCAATCAAGAGGCATAGATTTGAAGAAAGAATTAGTACCTCTGAATTGCTCCCCAAAAGGAAGCCTCCAGCAGATGGAAGCATTGAATTGTGAATCAAACCCCAGTTCATGAGCTCTGCAGCATATATCTCTGGAAATGTGATCTCTTTTTGGAATTTGGAAGATAGCTTCACCTGCAAACAAGAAGATAGACATACTTCCTAGCAATTCACAGAAAACCAACAAAAGATTAAGGTGATTCTCAAGGGAACCACATAGAATGGTATCATTGAAACAAATGGAGCGACTAAACTGATACTAAATACATTAGAGCTCAAATTTTTCTCAATTTGTCCCAAAAAATCACAACATGGTTTATTTCTTCAAAATAACTTTCTCAATGAGGTTTAATTACTTAAAATCAAGTAATGAATGTTTCTCAAGGATATTGGAAACTCTTATCAAGATGGTTTATTGACTCAGAATAACTTTCATCATTAGGTTTAAGTCCTCAAGTAATTCTCAAGCTTCTAGTTATCATTCCTATAGCATCTAATGAGACACAAGTAATTCTCAAGATTCATCTCAAGATGGTGTATCTACTCAAGACAATTTTCTCCAAGAAGTTTGAATTACTTAAAATCAAGCATTTCCTATGCTTCATTGCTGAAACGTCCCTCATATTTCAGCAGTTTGAATACTTAAGATCAAGTAAACTCTTCTTTTCGCAAAAATCAAGTGAACTCCATGCTTCATAATGTATATACTCAGAAAACACTAGTCTAAATCTTTCTGAGTTTTGTCTGTAAATAAGAAAGTTGATGAGAAATAATATAACTGTTTATGGATCAATCAACGACAAATGCGATGCCCCAAAAACTGAATGGACAAGAAAAACTGAATGTTCATGAAAATTAAAAAAATGACCATCTTGGATATGAAATAGAGCCTTATACTCCCTCCAAAAATGATCAAATTAAACATATACATAAATAAGAACAATTATAATAGCATATATTATAAGAAAGTGAGGTAAATAAAGTATTAAACTAGAGAATCAAATAAGATAAAAATAGGAAACTAGAGATGCAATAAGAGGTTCTAACAAAATACCAAAAAATCAACCATTTTTGCTATAATTATTAAAAGTACTTACTGGTTCATAAATAGCTTCTGATAATTCAAGATTTATCAGAAGAAATCACTGGTTCATCCATTACTTTTGATAATCAAGGGAAGAACCCAAATTGAATACAAGAACTTACTAGTTCATTATTGGATTCTGGTAATTTCCATGAAAACCCATCTGAATTTAGGGTGGCAGAGACCTCCCCAACTCGATCAAAGAACAAATTGCAGCTTAGAGCTTCCCCTTCGCCATGACCTGAAACTGGATTCATCTCTTCGTGATGCTTCTCCCCTCTTCTAATGGAAATTCTATTCCCTTCTCTCAAGTACCCATGTGGTGGGTCTGTCTCTTAGTGAGAGAAAATGCACTTGTTAAGGAATTAAGCATCCAGTTTAGTGAGAGAAAACGCAGAATTGTCCGGATGGCCACCATGGGTTAGAGAGAGAAACACAGCGAAAAAAAGGCTTTAGAGAGAGAAAGTGGAATCAAGCATCGGTTTTAGTAGGAGAATAATGAGGAATTGTCCGGGTGACCACCATGGCTCTAGAGAGAGAAACAAGCGAAAAAAGGGTTTAGAGAGAGAAATGGAGTCCCCACTCTTCGTAAAGCGAGCGACATGAGCCACGACTCGCGACTCGCTTTGCCCTTGGCCCATGTTCCTCTCTCTCTCTAGAAAAAGAGAAAAAATTGTTTTTTTCTTTATTCAGAATATCATAATATCCTCCCCCTATCTCTCTCTAGAAAAAGTCTCAAAAAAAAAAAAAAAAAAGACATTGCCACCGATTCCCAATATTATAATGTCATAGTTATGAAGACCAAAGTAGAGGGCGCAGTCTCACTAGTTAGATTACTAACAAGTGCTTTGCCTAATCAAGTTAAATTTTTTTTTTGATTTTGATTGAAAATTAGTAAATGATTGTTTGACTAATTTTAGGTGATTAGATTGTTTAATTTGATCGAAAATTAGTTAAAATTAGTAAATGATTGTTTGATTAATTTTAGGTGATTAGATTGTTTAATTTGATCGAAAATTAGTTAAAAATGATTACTTGACTAATTTTAGCTGCTTGGATCGTATGATTTTCAGTTAAACTGGTTAAATGAAATTGAGAAGTAGTTTTTAAATTTTTAATAGATTCTATATTATGAAATTATTATTCTTGATTTTATATAATATTTAAATATAATCTAATCTATTAGACTATAGTCAAATTAATTTTGATTGGACTACAACCGTCGCTAGTCTAGCAAACATTTCCATCATAATAACTATGCTTATAATAACTATGCTCTTTGTATAGAAAACGATAAAATAAGTTTGACTACTTTTAGAAATGGGCTCAAAGCTAGGTCGTCAGGGTGGTGGTTTCTACAACATAATATCTTGAAATATAATATGTTGAGTTCTATTATTACTATGGGCAAGAGGCCTCACACCATTAAACTATCTAAAAAGTTACAAGAATTGTCTGAAATCATTTACTTTTTGTATAAGGGCATCACAATCATTATTGTCCGTTAGATTTTAAAATGCGTGGTTGTAATAGTATCATTGATTAGACAAAGTTTTAATAAAATTATTCCCAAACTTCCTGATTCACTCCAAACCATGCAATTTGATATCTAATTAGTAAAAATAGATATGACTACTTGTACAAAAGATAAATGATCCCTTTATAGACAATCTCAAAAATATATATAATTGCCTTTAAATTCATTTTAATTGGATCAAAACGTCATCCGGATGTTGTATGCTACACCCATCTCTCTCTTGTTGCACAATCTCTATCTATACTTGACATGCATCTTTCTTTTTCGAAAATTCCGAATACTTCACTGCTTTATACAAACATTATACAATTATGTTAAGGAAAATTGTTTGGTACGTCCAAGCTTGCACCTTTTATTAAACGAGTTTGGAGATCTACACCGTCTACCAAAACTGATTCCCATAAATAATGATCCTCTAAAGATAAAGTAAAATCAATAGTTTAAATATTTTTTCTAAAAAATAAAATAATGATCATATAAGACCCTTTTCACCCATATGTGTAGGACCCTATAAGATCACTATTAAAGTTAACACATATCTCTAAAAAATTATCACATGAATGTGGAACTTGACTTTTCTAGAGATCGATACATGGTGATATTTTGAGAGTCCTACGCACAGGTAGGAGAGGGTCCTATAGGATCATTTCTCTTCCTCAAAATCAAATTCTATTTCAAAAATAAATTATTACGGGCCCTACATGTGAGTCCGTGGACTCATATGAACCGTCCTTACGTTAAACCATCAAAACAATTACAAAAATATAAACTCGAATGACCAGTGCCATGCACATACTCCACGCCATTCAATATGTCAGCAAAGGAATAAATTTCTCCCTTATTTGTTTTTTACAAGTAAAATTGAACAAGAACAATCCAGTTTTTAGGGGCACGATCTAGGTGTCACCAACTTGAAACCCAAACCTTTTTTTATTGAAATAAGCGTTGGAAATTACTTAGAATCTCCAAATTTCGGATGAAAAAATCCACCAAACTTACTTTGCCCAAGGAGTTGTTATCCTGCTATGCCTCCCTATTTTTTTTTTATTTTCTTTTGTCATTTCTATGTCTCCTCAAGAAGTACGCAGGCCAAGGGGACCATAACGATTATGCACTACTGTAAATACTCAATGGCCTAGATTGAATCTAAACCGATCTACTGGTCACGATTGTATTTCATATTTTAATTTTAATTTTTTTTACAAATTCAAATCACTTGATATTCAGAACATCTATTCTTAAAAAAATAAAAAATCTAATAAAATAATCAAAGCAATAATTCACAAAAACTAAATAGATCATAATACCATTAAAATTTTAAAAAGTATTTTGATCAAATTTAGTTTTTATGAATTATTTTTTTAGTATTTTTATTAGGTGTACATTGATGAGAATAGTAGATGTCTTAAATTCCATATCATTTACATTTTTATAAAAATAAATTCAAACTTAAATACAACATACAGTTGTGACTGTCAAATCAGCCTAAATTCAATTTAAATTGTTGAGCTTATACTATTCCATCAATTCATGAGCAGACATGATATTTTTCCATATAATATATAGGTATATATATCAACTAAACCTAGAAATAAAATACAGGATCAACAAAAGTGAAGACTCAAAGAGATACATGAGGTTAAAGGATCATCAAAGGCGTTACACAGCAGCTCTTCTCTCTTATATATGTTTCATTGTATTTCTAAGAATTAGAGAAACAACAATAAATAAATAAAGTCCTAGTAATCGTGTTCATGCAATTGGGAGTCTACGTATCTCTCAATCAACCTCTTTGCCAAGGCAACCTGTTTCCACCACCAACATTAAAGAAAATATTAAAGCCCCAAAATAATAATAATAGTAATGATAATTAGACTAATAATAATAAAAATATATATGTAAAGAAACTATTTATTTTCGTCCGTTAGATTTCAAATCATTTGGTTGAGTGAATCATGATTAGATTCAAAGTTCAAAACAAAGTTTCTCAAACTGTGTGACAACCTAAACCATCCAAAAAAAGCACATGAATCACTACCAACATACTCTATGCTACCACCAAAGCACATGAATCAGCACTAAAATACTCCATTACCATTAGAGTTAGTACGAGAGCTAAGAGGTGCAAAGGGTTAGGTTTATGTATTTTGAAAAATAAGAAATCCAGATGGAAGAGAAAGAACGGATATGTGCGTTATTTGAGAATTAATTTGGGGCACTTAATGAGGATTAAAATAAAAAATGACGGCAAGGACATTGGTGGGCGTAAAATGACATTTATAAACTTTTTAATGTTGCTGACAACTGGGATAAAAGGTGGGGGTCACCATAGGATAAGTAGGATTTTTTGGGGTGAAAAAGACATGGGATTGTATATTACAAGACCATTTATTACTATTACAAAGAGGTTACAATCACTCTTAACCATTACATGTCAAATTGGATGGCTTGAAATGTGTTACAAAGTTCAACCTTCTTTTTTTTGAACTTTTGAATCCAGTCAATGACACATTTACAACCATCCAATTTGAAATCTAATGGACACGAATAATTGTGACCTACTTGTACTAAAAATAAATGGTCTCTTTGTATTCTTTTCCTAAAAATATTCCCCCTTAAAAAACAATCAAACACTTTTCATGTTAATGCATAAAAAAAAGAAGAAAAACCACCAAGTTCATCCCTTTACACTAAACATATAAGGTTCACCTGCGGAGGACCACCACTAATATGAATTTGTCTTTGCCCTCTCTCACCTCTCCCCGATGAGACCTATACTCACATAAACAAGAAAAATATAATCAGCTTGTGCAAGTTTTTTTTTGTGTGTGGTCTGTCAGCGCGCGTGGGTGAGAGAGAGAGAGAGAGTGTGACTGATATTCACAAAATATAAAATTTTAAGCCTTAAAAGCAAACGCAGCCAAAGAGCAGCCAAACTTGGTCAGACAATTTTTAGCTTTGTTACTGCATTATGGCAGGCTTGACACTGAACACAATGGATTTGTTTAAGTACAATTTATTGCCTGAGACCTCCAAAAGAAACCATTTCCTTCCATCCTGGTCTAAGAAAGGGCCTTCTAGATGAGGCACAGGCACGTGCTTACGCACACGCATAATTGGGGGTGGCAGTGGGGCTTGGGGGAACACAATAGGCATTCAAGAAAGTGAGATGAAAAAGAGAAACAGATGGGGAAGTGGCTTCTGTAGGGTGGGCAGGGAGAGGTGGACAAAGTTGTTCATATAATCAAGATGCAGACCTGTTCATTTGTGTGGCCTAAAATTAGGGTGAAAGTGGGGTATACTGACGCTAATGGCATAGAATGTTGGGTATGTTTTTTTTCTTTTTTTTTCGTGGGGGAGGCAGAGGAGTTAAAACACTCAAGGGAAAAGTATCAAAAGTAAAAAAGAAGAGTCACAGACACCGGGAAAGGTATCAAAAGAAAGAACCAGATGATATCTAGAATACAAATTGCAAAGGCAGAGGCAGAATGGGCCAGCAAAGAGAGACTAATTTTACTGCATGAATTTCTCTCCTTTGTTTCAATGGTTTTTTTTTTTTGGGGGGGTGGGGATTGGTGGTGTACGGGGTGAGAATTCACCAAATTTAATTTTTTGGAAGGCCACAGAAGGAACATATTTACCTCTTCAAAATAAAGAAAAAAATAAAAAAACTATTAAATATTTTTTGTTGAAAAAAAAGAAGCAAGCATATACCTTAACCAAAGCCCCTGATTGGTGCCTAATTTTAGAGATATTTGAGCCGCCCTTCCCTATCAAACCACCAACTGCTGACTCTGAAACTGAGATTTCAGTAGTCACCACATCATTTGCATAGGTGGATGACCTATGATTGGAGCTACGATGGGCCGAATAACCATGATCTGGGTATAATTAAAGAAAACAAAAAGTCAAAATAATTTTATTAGAATATATTGAATCATCCACAAATAAACAATAATAAGTCAAACACGAAATGGCTGTTATATGGAATGGCACATAACCTGAATATGAAGACATATGTGACGACGTTCTTGGAGGAACTGAGCCATAATTGTACGCCGGCTTTAGCGAGATTACTCGTTTGGGTGGAGTTTCCCTGCACAAACATTCAGAACAAATTTTGAAAAGATACACGATAAAGGTATAGTGATGTAGAGGAAAGGGAGAATAAGAAGAAACATAATAAGCCTATAGACAATGGGATACCCATAGTCTATTATTCATCATCCACTGAAGTAATGGATGATGGTCATGGCCATAAAGTGGCGCCCACCACTGAACTCATAATGTTCTAATATGATGAGCCTCTCTCTCTCTCTCTCTCGTGCGGACCCAATAGATATGGTTTTTCCTTGGTCTATGGATTGCATTATCTTTGACTAAAAAGGAAAACTTCAATTTACGTCAGGTTGATACAAAGATTCAAAGAGCCTACAGTGGGTGTGTTAAAATGGCAAACCTGAGCTTGTAGCTGATTTTCTCCAGAGCTTTTAGCACTTCTCGGACTTCACCGGATATCTGGGGGTAAAATAAGGCTAAGGGATATGGTAAGTTGTTCAGAATAGAAGAATAGACAAGAGTCATGGCAGATCAAACCTAAATACAAGATTTCACAAGAAAATGCAAAACTCATAATGTGTTAGAAAGTTTCCTCGCAAACTTTACAACCTAAAGAACTCCTTCCCACTAATGCAAATGATTTTTGGAAAGGGGCATACTTTGTGTAATTTGTAAAGGGAAAAAAATTTAAAGTTAGTCAAATTACCTTTAGAATAGAAGACATGGGTGTTGTAATCAGGTTGTGACCGATTTAATACACCATTAGTGGTGCAAATCAGTATAATAACATGGGTTTTCTAGTCTATCACTGATAAATTGCAGGAAATGATCATGTTCAAAAGTCATTTGCACTAGAGAGTGGAAGGCAATCATGTCACTTCCCAACGTTTGTGAGTATTTTACGAACACACTCCTTAAAAGTGATAAGTCGTTCACGCACTCCCTCCCTCCCTCCATCGTGAAAAATCGAAGTTAAAAAAAAAAATCCCTCAGTTTTGAAAATTAAATTTGCAAAAGAAATTATGTTACCTCAGTAGATACATTGGATTCAAAAAACAAGACAAATAAATGAGCAAAAGAAAACATCGCCCTATTCATGAGCCAAAATCAGGACTTAGAAAAGTGAAGCATACCATAATAAAAGAACTATGGAAAACCACAGTCCATTAGGGTTATCATGGTCCAATTAAATGGACCAAGATTGAGAGAACGGGACCTACTAATGGGGTCATTTCTTGTTGTGGCAGGTCCCACTGTCTCCCCATCACCGTGCATTATTTCATTGGATGGCAACAGCCCCAATGGACTACAAGTATAACAATCAATTAATTAAGAGTACACCTTTCACATAAAAAAGAACACGATTTTTCTTATCATTGAATTTTTTCTGTCACTTAACTGCTGCATCTAAATTTCCAGAACCCAAAGAGGAAGGAAAATTACATGTTATGAAAAGGAAGCGTACCTGAACTAACCGATCAGATTGACAGGTAGATGCACAGATTGGCAAGTGTTTCTGCTCCATGATCTGAATGTTGGCCCCTGAGGAGCTTCTAATTTCTTTAATGTTCTGACCAGAATACCCAATCAGGCAACCAGCTTGGGAACCTTCAATCAAAAGCCGGATTGTGTTGGCTGATGAATGGCCCCCAACCTTTTCATCACTAGTGTCATCCTCCTTCCCAACCAAAGTGAAAAAAGAATGAAAAAAACATGAACTAAATCAGGTTCTAAGCCAACAATAAGCCCATTGACACCCCCACCCCCAAAAGGAAAAAAGTAACATCATATTTTTTAGGTGTACTATATGTTGGATTCAGCATTGTCCACCTATAGTTTTTGGAGACAAGAGTGGGTGCAGGAGCAAAAGGGGTGGATCGTTGTTTCCCATGGGTTCCCTAGTTTGGAAACGCCCATACAATAAATGTATAAAATGGAGAAATTTTAAAAGATTAACCACAATTTTTTAACTAATATTTAGATGAAAAACTAATATATTTTGTAAATATCCACAAAATAACATTTGAATGTAATAACTCATATATACATCATCCGAGCTATACCGAGCACAAGAGAATTGGACGCACCTCATCACCCTTGGTGGCCAAAACATAGACCGTACTAACATTGTCAACATGACTTGTACTTTAACACAAGCCGCAATCATTTTTTTGGATCTTCGTGCACCTTCATACATATTGCATGCTTGTAATTACGAATTAAATGAATCTTGCATTCCTTGCTAGCTGGCTTGTTATTCGTTGGTACGCTCGAAATATCAAACATGCAAACATAAACACCAAACTACTTAAGGTGTACCCACCAATGTTAGAAAAATCGGGCGATCAAACCAGTAACCGCCCGGTGAGATATGGCCGGTTCCTGTCTTGTGCAGTTTTGGTGATCGACCGGTATTTAAAAAATAAAAAAGTCAAAAATATATATATAAAATCCCAAAAATAAGGCATTTGGTTTGAAATACATTTTTTAAATATTCTTTACATTATGGTAAAGATTAAATATTGTTTTGGTCATTAATACTCACTTTTATATTTTCCCATCTTTTTCGAAAAAATACCTCTAAACACAAATCAATTCTTTGAAATCAATTTTTTTCATTAATTTTCAACTTCATTTGAATGTGTTTTGTTTTAATCATTCTTTATATGCTTTTCATGTTTTAATATAATTTTTTGTATCTTTTTTATTTTTTTCAACAATTTTTTGACCGCCCAAGACTTGTCTAGTTAGAACGGCTGATTCGGCCGGTTTACTGGTTAAACCGCTTCTGGCCCCATGTCCGATTAACCGTTCCGGTTCGATTTTGTGAACACTAGTACCCACAAACACTCACATGAGGAACACTTTATTTTGTGGCTTTTTTGAATCATCAAGGTGGGGTCTCGCGTCTCAAACATACAACCATTAAATTTTTAAAAACATATATTTTTGTGAAGCCGCACTGTCATATTACGTAAATGCTAAATCAACCAAATGATTTCTGTAATTTTATTTTTTCTTCTTAGTATCTAACAAGCAATAAATCTATTTTTATATTTCATAAGATTAAATCAGGATTTTCCTTGATGGCACTAAAAAGCAATTTACTCCATCGGTAACATTAACTTTTTGCGTTGTTCACACATACTCTAACACACGTGAGAGGCATCCATTACCTTGCTAATTAGAATATTCATAATCACACGTGCATTTAATGCACATTTAAAAAATAAGAAATAAAATATATAATATTTTAATAATAAAATAAAGTACATGATATTTTATCTTTACTCTAGCAAAATCGTTGTATGGATTTTTTAATCGATATATGCATCAAATGCAAAATCAATATATGAATTTTTAAAGACATTTTTATGAACACGCACTGTCATATTATGTAAATGCTAAATCAACCAAATGATTTATGTAATTTTATTTTTTGTCTTAATCTCGAATGAGCAATTTATATATTATATAATAAAATATTAAATCAGGATTTTCCTTGTTGGCACTAGGCAACGATTTACTCCATTGGTAACACAAAGTTCTTGTGTTGTGTTCACACATACTCTAACCCACAACATGTGAGAGGCATCCATAATTTTAATAATGAAAATAAAGTATATAATATTTTAATAACAAAATAAAGTACATGATATATCATCATTAAATGCAAAAGAGATATAAGGATTTTTTAATCGATAAGAATGCAACTTATCAAATACGGTAATAGAATATTATAATGAAAAAATTAAATATTCAAAAAGAGAATGATTACCTCTCCAAATATCTAAAAATAGTTATCCCAAAATATATCATGCCAACATTAAATGCTCCAAATATCTAAAAATAGTTATCCCAAAATATATCACGCCAACATTAAATGCTGAGGAATCCAAATTTCCCAAAATACAAGCCACATCGAATGCTCCTAACCTTAAAAAATATTGTTGAATCACAAGGCCATATTATATAAAACAGTATTCAAATAAACTATTTTTATTTATAATTAAACAATAAAATATTATTTTATTTTTCCATATTGACAAAAAAAACTAGATTTTCCCTAATACATTTTAAAGAGCATTGTGCTCCTTCGGGCGCATAAAAGTTTTTTTCTTATCACGAATGTGCAAGACATACATGTAAGAGGTAATAGAATATTTTAACAAAAAAAATTGAATATTCAAAATCACAATGATTATACTATACTACTACTTACTTTACTTTATTAGTATATATATAACTAATACTAACTAGTAACTAGTACTACGTTACGTAGTATTACGTATACGTAATAGTAA